GGTCGTTTCCCTTTTTTTTAAATAGTTACGCTCGGAAGAAAAATAAAAAGAAATACTAAACGGACTCCAAAAATCCCAAAATAAATTTTTCCGGGCTTCTAAAGTCAAGCCCGACAAATTAAACATTTATTTGGGCCCTAAATGCAATTTTGAAAACGCACATTTTTTCTAAATTCAAATAAAACACCGAAAAAATCTCCAAAATAAAATATTATTTGATTTTGTTATTAAATCCTCAATATTTCTTTATTTTGGGAAAGTCATTTTATTCCCTCTCTCATATTTTTGTAATAGAAATAACTGATGATAAAATAAATAAAATCAAATGATCCTATTCTCAAAATTTGAGAAAACTCAAATATGAAAATAACGAAATCCCCAACTCTCTTCGTGGGTCCTTGAGTTGCGTAGAATTTCTAGGATCAACCAAAATGCAAAAATAAAATATAATATGCAATGATGATCTAATGTATAACATTCCAAATTGAAAATTTGGGATGTTACACTGGCGCAATAGTCGGTGACGTTGAATCCATGAATTTATTTGAAGCATCTAACACCAAATCTCGACATGGCGCATGCACTACGAGATATCCTAACCTCGCCACCCCAATGAGATACCATGAATATATGCAGGAACTCCATCAATTACGTCCAGTCGGAGTCGAGGAGGATCGAAGCCAGAAAGAGAAAATTGATTAAGAAGCTTCGACATTCGTCCGTGCGTCGCACATGTGAAGACTAAAATACGCCAACCTAAACTACTAGCCGGAGTGGAGGCCACGTGATTCCCTTCCCCACCACGGACACCCGAGCGGCCGACAGAGGGAATGTGAATCCATAGACACGCCGACGAAGCCTGAAGGAAAGAACCATTTTAAATTATTGGAAATGTTTACTTAAAGTACTTAAACATTTTATACAAGCAACATGAACAGTTTTCAAAATAGCTTAGACTATTTTATCAAAATTACACGAAAAAATTTCGTTTCAAAACATAAAAAACTCTTCAAAAAATGTGGACATATTTTTCTCAATAATTTTGTTTATTTTTTCATATTTTAAGAAATCATTAACATATTTTAAAATTCACATGGACATTTTTAGAAATGCAATGAAGATTTATTATACATGATATGTGATGAATTTGTTTTTGGAAAATACATGATCCATATTAATTTAAATAGCTGGCACAAATTTTTTTCAAATTCATTTTTTTCTTTTATTGTGTGAACATTTCTTCAAATTTTTCCTAAAACACACACACCATTTAAATCACATTCACAGTTTTAAAAATACATGAACATTTTTTATTCGCATAAACAAGAGTTTCTTATTGTTTTGTACCTGTCATATAAATTTTTTAAAATGTTTTAAAATAGAATTTTGGTTTCTACAACAATGTGGCATTCCAAATGTATTTGCGTAGGCTAATTGTCCCCTGTGTGCGCCTTCCTAGGCCGTGACTTTTGATAAGCCCATTTGACCGGTTGTCGTTTTGTGCTCACTGCACTGCTTCAGGCGCCATTTCTATGCTGGCTACACTCGCCCTCTCCTCTCAGCAGCATGGTCACTCGTATTTTCTTTTCTCGCTCGCTTGGACGCTCGTCTGGTCGCTCAGTCGCTAAGCTATTCATCGGTGGCTTGCTATTGTTTTTCTATCTCGTTCATGCAAAAAGAATCTACCTGCTTGTATGAAAAAAAAAAGACAAGTACTCACACCGATCAATATAAATTGACGTTGGATTAGTACAAAGTTAGTGGAACTTTGTACTAAACCAACGTCAATTAATACGGATCGCAGGGAATATGATATTCTAATAGATTCATGATTTTTTTCACAAATTTGATTTTTGGATTAAAAATATTATTAAATTTCAAAAAATGTGTGTAAATTTATAAAAATATTGGTGGATATAAAAATGTTCACGACTTGAAAAATATTAATGAATCTAAAAGTGTTCACGATTTCAAGCTGGTGTGAAAGATTATAATTGACTCACTACACCCCAAAGTATGGAAGATCTAATTCTTGAAAATACGGCATATCTTCCGCAACAAAAAATAGAAAATGACCCCGTCAGACTATTCACACAGAGGAATGGAAAACATAGTAGGAAACCGAACTATTATACAACTGAGAGGGATTTCCTATGAGTGGACGCTTTTTTTCCTCTTGATTTTTAAGAAATGTTCACGCAGTTGAACAAATATCCATAAATGTAACATATTTGTAAACTGTTTAGAATTTTAGAAATGTACATCTATTTTAGAAATGTAGATCAATTTCACAAACTTTACAGATTTAATAAAGTTTCACAATTAAATAAAGATATTGTAGAAAAGGGAAAAAATCTGAAAAATATTCATGAACTTACAAAAGGATAAATCAAAAGTGAAGAAAAAATAAAGATAAAAAACAAAAAAGAAGGAAAGATCAGAAAAAATAGGTGAGAAAGCGTAAAAAACGATACAGAGAAAATTCCTAAAATCGGCTGGAAGATTCAAAAGCCGGGTGCGGCAATATGTGGCTTGCTAGGAAACATACTCGCGCATTGCTACGGGGTGGAGGGGAGTGGTTGGAGAGAGAGAGGTGCCCCGAGGACTTCCACGGAGTGCATTTTTCTCGACTTTGAAGCACATTTTTCAATAGTTCAATTACTAACTCAAATAGTTTTGAAGTAAGAGCACATATGTTGTTTTTCGTCCGACTTCAAGTTGCCATTGTAGATTAGACTGTCAATATATAGTGACAAAGCATATCTTAAAAAAATCATACACACAACACTTATGTTAAGTTACTGATATCACATAATAAAAATGGTGTATACTTCGCCTAGTCCTTCTCGTATAGATGTACTAACTCCGTGTTCTGTCGCGATACATGCAGGATTCTTCATCACAATTGGATCTTTGCTTAGTGCGTTGCGCCTCAATTCGTGGCTAGCTGTAATTTGCTCTATTCTAGTTTTTCTTTCCTGGTTGCATATTTGTGATTTCTGCCTTTTTCATGCACACTTTTTTATCTTCTGTGTTGGCTTCATGTTTGCATATTTCTTCTTTCCTTGTGTGGTTTTTTTCCAACTGGGTCGAACCTATTATTCCTTTGTTAAGTTGATAGGCTTCATGACGTTTTTTCAGGTTTTCTTTATTGGTCATCGGTACATACCGCTCTTTATGTTTTTTCCTTGTTTGTTCTTTGGCATCCATGACTCAAGATTGCCATCCAAATTGCTTGCATGCATGAGAGTTTTTTATACAATATGAATATGTGTTGATTAAAAAGATGATATAAATTTGCATCATAAATAGAGCATATGTAGCTACCTATAAATAAATTTAATTACGCTGGAGATAAGCATCACAATATATGCGTTGTTTTCATACTAAGTACTCCCTCTGTCCCAAAATTTCTTGTCCTATATTTGTCTACATACGGATGTATTTATTTATGTTTTAGTGTTAGATACATCCGTATCTAGATAAATTTAAGATAAGAATTTTGAGACGAAAGGAATATCATGTTTTTCCTTCAAGCAATTTAGAAAGCAGAAAAATTATAACACAAACAGATGCATGCACGAAAAACCCGACGATTGTGTGCATGTAAATTTGCATAAGCAAACAAATGCATGCAGGGCAAGAAACAAATTAAGAAGCTCAGGAGGGACGTGTGTATGCATTTGTTTTACCTTATTCGGCTGTAGACGACGGCGATTCCATCACCCGTCTCACGCCCGTGACGCGTATCCTTTGGCCGCACGCACCGCTGTCCAACCTTATCTTCTCTTCCCAACGCCTTTTTCTCACTCCCTCTCTGTCCAGCAAGGGACCATGCTCAGCACTCCCCCCTCCTCAACGGCCGCTGCTTCAACGCCTCTCTTTGCAACCCAAATCTTCCGAGCCTCCCGAGCGCATCCTCCTTCCTCCAAGCGCTCAGCGCCTGATCCACCACCTCTCTCGCGCGCCCCCGCGCATGCCGCATCACCGGGAACTCCAGTGCCTCCCAGATCCTCTCCTTTCTCCTTCTTCCTCGCCCCCGCGCACGCCTCACCACAACCACCCTCTGCCTCACCTCCATGCGGGAGGACAACTACGACGCCATCGAACGTCCCGTCCCAGCCCGTCATCCCTCGCCTCGCTCGCGTGGGACGCACTGCGGGCGGGAGTACCGGTGCCGCGAGGCCCCTCGCCGAAAGCATCTGATATGCGGCCGAGACGCTGCTTCAACGGGCAGGGGGTGCAGTGACGGGGGACGCATGCGATGGTGACAGTCCCTCTCTGTGGGTTCGTTCTTTACCACATCTGCATGTCTGCTTTCTTCACCAAAGATATGCAGCCAAGCCAAACTGCAATCGAGGCAAAGCAGAGGCTATTTCAAGGACCTCCCCTGCCAATTTTGTGTATTCTTGTGCTAATCCCCAAGCGGGTGACAGGAGCGGATGACACAGGGGCCGCCCCTCACCCGATCACGCGTGTCGGCGATGTAGCCTCCATCCTACTTCTCCTCCTCCGCCGCCCTACTTCTCCTCCTCCGCCGCCCTACTTCTCCTCCTCCGCCGTGGCTGGAAAGGGAACGGCTGGATACAAACGAAACAAAGGATCACGGGTTGAATACAACGAAGTGCAAGGTCCTTTTTGTAAGAACGAATCGTTTTCTCATATCCACTTAAAAGGGGACTGCGGGCTAATTACCAAAAAACACAAGGCTTTTATGCAAAACCGCGCGACGACGTACAGGCAGAAACCCAATTCTCTTTATTATTAAAAAAAATTAAAAGTAAAGATAAAGATAGCAACCCCAAAAGAAGTCTTGCCTCAAGCGCTGCCTTACTGTCGCTATTATTTAGCTGGCCCAAATAACATCCTGCGGGTCAGTTCGTTTTTCTTCTCATTTTACCATTCGCTCTTCTCTTTCTTTTGTTTATATTTTCGAAAATATTTAAATACACATATCCAAAAACTTAAATTTATTTCAATATGTAAAAATGTGAATTTGAAAAATGTTAACGCGGTAAGAAGAAATGTTTAGCTTAGTTTAAAAAACATTGATAGATTCTAAACAACAATTGTGACATTTGAAAAATGTTCACACTTTTCAAAAGAGTGTACGTGATTTTTTAGAAAAATTACACAATGTAAAAAAAAAAATTCGTGCAATCTTAAAAAAATGTTTTGTACTAGTGAAAAGCAATGCACTGGAATTTTAAAAAGTTGCCGTGTTTCAAAATCATATGATCATGACATTTAAAAAAATATATAATTTGAAAAAATGTTTCTATAAATTATTAAAAAAAATTACTGTTGAGAAAAACATATGTGAATTTTTTTAAATGAATATGCGTAGTTTAAAAATGTTTGTACCATTAACAAAATATTCAACATGCATTTGAGAAATGTTTAACATGTGTTTAAAAATATGCAAAACACGTATTTTGAAAACAAAAATGCAACATGTATTTGAAAAGTGTTCTACGTGTGTCAAAAATGTTACGTGCATATACGGAAAATGCATAGTGTGTATTAAAAACAATGAATCCAGTAAATAAAAGGACAGAAAAGAGGTGAGAAACAAACAATTAAAACCAAAAAAAACCGACCAACGTAAAAAACACACACACACACACACACAGAAAAAGGATGAAAAGAAAAAAACAAATAAAACCAGTGAAACCAGTGAAGAATAACATATAACAAGAACACACATCTTAGGGATGGTGAAGCCATTGATATGTGGAGGGATCCCTGGATCCCGAGGGGATCATGAAGGTACCCATCTTTTCTCAGGGGCCAAGCTGTGTCAACGGAAGTGGCGGAGTTGATCAATCCGGACATAGAGCAATGGGACGCTGGGCTTGTAAATGATCTGTTTGGGCGAGCAGATGTTGTGCATACCCTGCCTATTCCCCTCTGCAACGGCATGGAAAATCACTTAGCATGGCACTATGATAACAAGGGGGTCTTTAGCGTGAAGTCAGTATACCAGCTTGGTTTGAGGATCCGAGACTCGACTCACTACGGTTGTTTCTTCCAGATGGAACAAACTTTGAGCCTTGCAGATCGCTGCTAAAGTACCGTTTTTTGTTTGGTTGCTCGCGCATGACAGTCGGCCAACGCTCATGAACATCAAACGCAAGCATGTTGAGCTTGACACCCGATTCCTGGTGTGTGTACGGCTTGACGAGGATGAAGGACACATATTTCTTTGCTGCAAGTTTGTAAAGCATGTTTGGAGTCAAATGAATATGGAGGAGACAAGGGTGATGTTTCTCGAGCAACCAATGTTGCCACGGTCGTCGAATCAATTCTCTTCCTCAATGGTGAAGGTTAGCACCAAGCTAGTGTGATCCCTGGGGACTGGAGGACTACTCGTAACAAAATATATGCAGGGGAAAAGGCGCGGACTGTTGATGAGGTTTGTTTCACAATCCAGAAGGATATCATGGAGTTCATGATAGATGGTAATCCAACGTCTATGACAGCCATTCCTACATCGAAATGGGGACGGCCTAAGCCGAAGTTTGTCAGAGTGAATTTTAATGCAGCCTTTAAACAAAGATCCGGCGATGGTGCCTGCAATCGGACTCAAGGCGAGTTCGGTGACAAAGATCCAGCGATGGCGCCTGCAATCGGACTCAAGGAGAGTTCGCTGCAGCTGAAGCTGGCAAGCTTAGGCATGTCAATAACGCCCTTCAAGATAAGGCAGAGGTGTGGGCAATGTGGGAGTACATAGAGTCATGCTCGAATCTGACTCCCTGGCCCTAGCTCAAACTCAAAACTCCGGTGAATCAGATCGAGCGGAGCTAGGGCGTCCTGTTTCGGGAAGCAAGAAACAGCTTCTTGATTTGGATGGGGTACATGCCAGACTTCGTTCTTGATTTGGTTCCGAGCGACTCTGCTGCACCATATTTTTAAGCAAAATATATTAATGTCAAGTAGATACCAATTACATTCAGCTTCTCTAACAACAAGATACTTAAAAATATCCAGGATGCACATGGTCAAAAAAAAGTGAAGAAAAAAAAAGATCCCGCCAAGGTGATCAATCACCCACATTAGCGGCACTCGAACCGCCACCAAAGACAGCACCAGGACTACAAATGAGGTTCTTCAAAAGTAACGCCTTCAGAAAGAAAACAAAAGCACAAGCGTTGTCGTTGCCCGATCAAAGATCTTAGGTTTTTACCCTGAAGAAAGACCGCGTTGCCAAAACAATGCCTTTAACAAGGCTACTGCCAAGCACAACCAGCAAAGGCCAGACCTTGGGTTTTCACCCTGAAAATCCCGACTCGGTACTCAGGGGAGCACCACCAGACCACAAAAATAAGTCCTTCAATGTTGTTGCACCCACTTGTAGAGGCTACTACTGCAAGTCAAGTACCACCAGACCTACTGGAACTCGTGTCATGTCTGGACGGAAACATATCCCGCAAGCCAAGTCTGAACAACTGCTCGGAAGCAAAGTCTTCATCGCATCCAAGATTGCGCCTTCGCCACTTGCAAGTCCTTCAATCACGTCATGGCATTCTCCGCATGTGTTGATCTCTTAAAAACCTTGGTGCAGGCATGTCCCAAGGTGTCAACAAAAACAGAGTTTCGCGAAACCCCGGTGGAGCTGGTTATGCTGATGTTCCGGGTGGGCACGACCGGCCCCTATCTAATCACGGTGTCCAAAGAGCGTCTTGTGCGCCAGTCCTTGTTTTCCTTCGAAGGAGAAGTCCGGAACTCACTGATGGCCAGATTACAGATCCTAGGTTCTCAATTGCATGAGCTTCTGAGCAACCGGACCGAGCAAGACCGAACAAGGGGAACCATCCGACGACGGGAACACCATGCCCGCCCGGAAGTCCAGCCGGCTCAACAACCTTCACTATGCCCAGATCTGGAAAGGCGGCGAGCACCTATTGGACAAATCTGGGTGATGAGTCAACCACAGGATGAGAAAAGTATCATCGCACGACGTCAACAATTACCACCACACCTGAGATCGAGCCCCGCCAGCATGGTAGCCGGATCTAGTCGAGTCAGACCCACCATCCCGTGCCTTGCTCCGCATGAGCCGCACGACTGCAGGCGCCCAAGACAAGATGTGGAGGAGCGCTCCACCACTAGTGAGCTGTCGTTCACTAGGAAGCTAGAGTGTTGGTGCAATCGATGCGGGGATTCGTCGCCATGTCCACGACCTTCTTGTCCGCATTCACATCCGCACCAGGAGCAAGAGTCCCGCCGCCGTCGACCACCAAGTCACCGACCATAGCTTTGCCCGGACGGCACCTGCCGGCAGCGGCGAGGGAGAGAGGATGCGAGGAGGGGCATGTGCCGCTGCGCGGTGGCGGAGGCAAGCCACCTGAGTCGCCCGACGGGACGATGCGGGGCGCTAGATGCGCTTTTTTCCGGATCGGTAGTTTTTCTCGCTGCACCAGTTAGTTAATGGAATGTGTGTTTTCCGCGTCATTATTTGTTTTTAATGGAGTACTACTAGCTAAAGTGGAGTGATTAAAAACAAATCAAGCCCGGATTCACCCGTGGCAGCTTGTTCTCTCTCCTCGGATCACGCGCGATGCACGGCACAAGGTCCTATAGGCTGGACGGACAGGGCAGGCATGTCGATCGGCTCGTGTCTGTCTGTCTGTCCCGGAGCTCCTTTGCCAACGTCTCTTCCTTCCTATCCTTCCTGCAGCTTCTCTCTTGTCCCGTCCCCGTCGTTGGCGTGCGCGCGTGCGGCGACGCAGGGCCCAGCCCGGAATTTTGCTTGCAGCAAGCGCGGGTGGGCGTCGCGATTGGATCCGACTTGCGTTCTTTTTTTTGGATCCGACTCGCGTTTACGACTGATACGCCTGCATTTGGGCCGAGAGCCCCCGGCCGAAAATTACACTGACGGCATCAGATCAGATGCGCGGAGCTCGTAAAAAGGGCATCTCCGTCGGAAAAGCGTCTTTTCGCGAGCACGGGCAACTGCGACGCGCCACCTTTCGGTCGCAAAAAAAGGCCTTTTGCGAGGTGGACCATACGGCGGCCAGTCCGGACTTTCGGGCAGAGCGGAGCAAAGCAACTTTGCGGAAAGGACGGACGGGGCATTTATCCATTTACAAACGACTACAGTGCTACATCCGTAAGGCCAACTCCACCG